AAACATGACAGCTCCCGTGAATGTGACCCACCTCTCGGCGCCTCCTGTGTGGCTCCTAGCTCGCTTTTACATTTCTCCGTTGGATGGGGAGGCCTCTAACGTGCGGCCCATCTGCTCTGAGCCTATCGCAACCCAGGGCCATCCACGCCGCTTGCCGGGTCATGCCAGTCCCGTGCTGCAGCTACGCGATTCATGTATGTATCCATAATATAGAGGTTTTGGGTTGTATGTGTGTTGCACTTCTTTCGCACCGTACGTCGCCAAGCTATGCTCATCGGTTGGTTACATTTACGATCATTGGCACGATTTATCGCGAACGTAATCACACCTGTTACTAATGGCGGCTATGAAAGGTATTATTGGGGCGAAACTTGATAAGATAATAAAGGGTAAAAAGCAGGTGAGTGTGCGTTTGGAAAACCGATTTGGATCATGAAAAGCAACGTGGATGCACCTACAGAGGGACGTTTTCAATCACTGCGCGTGTCCTAATGTGACATTGATCAGAAACATGGGCACTGACGAAGGAAATGCAACAAAGTGTGACAAGTAATGGAGCCTGGAGATAGACCTCTTGGGAATGTGAATCAGAGAACAAATGCACGAAATTCAAGTGAGTGTGAGCAGAACAGTGCTCTAAGGAACGTCTCGCCATGGTGATGAGATGTTAACTCCCTCGTCTGGTGTCCAGGAGGTCGTCGGTTCGATCCCAGCCCTGACGCCTGCTGCTGTATATTTGGAGTTTACGTGTATTTCTCCCCGTGGTCGCGTTAGATTTTTCTCCGGGTCTTCTGTTTTTTTTTTATCTCCACATTTAGAAACGTGCGTTTAGTGTACTTAACTTCTATAAATGTCGAAATGATAATACACTTTGTTCAGCTATCACTTGTGGCCAGGTCGCTTATGAAAAACACCCACATAGCTCAGTGGGCCTTACCTGGTAAAAAAAATAGTCATAGTTTGCCGATGGACAAATCTGGTGATGATGTGAGAACACGACTGAGAGGATGTTCCACCGCAGAGATGGAGTCATTAAAACAGCTCCTGTGCAGGAGAGAGATGGATTGTGAGATCGCAGAACTATAAGGGATGGCATTGACCTGGGGAGGCCTTCATGCAGCAGTGAATTCACCATTTGACCATGGCTGATTATGATGATGACTCTGAATAGCTAGAACCTCACTCGGCACGGTACGGACGTGTTGCAATTTCACCCGTGGAGTTAGACTTTAATTCCTCGCCCATATTTATCAAAGTTACAGACGCACAGAGTCAAAACTGTGGAGCAGAATGCAAGCGAAGATTAATCGGTGGTTTATTGATTACAGTGTCCGGTACACGAAAGACAAGATACATTACACGCATGGCAGTCCTCGCGCAAGCCTGCTGCGGTCCACGACGGATCTGTCTGGGTCACCGTTTGCTTTCTGCTGTCGTAGCAAATTGTAAATTGCTTACTGCACGCACAGTTCAGCATTGCCGTGGAAGCTCGACACGTGGGTTTTTTTAATGAACGTCTTTGGCAAGCATCACGCCCTCACAGAGGTTTCGCTTGCCTCCTTTCAGGTACATATTCCCCTGAACATAAACTGGATCTTGCAGTGGTCAGGTTTCGATGTGCTGCAAAGGACACATTTTTGTTTCGTTACGCACTTTCACTGCAGGCAAAACACTGCACATTTTAACGGTACTTAAGATAAATGGAACATCGTATGAACGTTGTTGTTCTTATTTTATTGTTATTGCAGTTGATTAATAAAATGTTCGGCAAGTAGGTTTGCAGCCAGAACTATGTAACATTGCAACAACAAAAAAACCCCGCTTGACTGCAATTGGAATGCATTAATATTACAACAATTCCTGGGATATCAGCTAAAAGACAATCTCTGCTTCTGTCATTAAACATACATTGACAATGCATTTTACATGCATTCAAAGAAGAGGTGATTAAGATAAAATGTGAATGCGTCACAGCCAAATTACAACAACAACCTAAGCAGAAATGGCATGGAATCGGCCCTACGTGAGACGAGATGGTACGCCCAGGGGATGGGAGCGCATCGTGCGTGTAAGGCACGGCCAAGAGAGAGATTATGGCTCTTATTGTTGTTCTCAACTAAAAAAACTATTTAAATTTTACCAGGTCAGGTCCACTGAGCTATATATGTCTTTATCAGGAGCGGACCTGGCTATCACAAATGATAGCCCAGCAAAGTTGCTTATCGCGCGGGAGTGTACAGCAGCCAAGTGCTCTAAATGCACCTTTGATTCTAAATGTGGAAGAAAAAACCAGACCACTGGGAGAAAAATCCATGCGACCACGGGGAGAACATGGAAACTCCAAATATACAGCAGGCGTCAGGGTCGGGATTGAACCCACGACCTCCTGTATACCAGGCGAGATAGTTAACATCTCACCACCGTGGTACCCCAATCAGTGGCAATGGGATTCTAATGTTTCCGATCAAAACACTGAGTTCAAGGTGGCTTGATTTCGCATGTTCAGTGGTTTAAATTGAACGGCACGATTTTATAATCCGGTACATATTTGATTATTTCAGAACTTTGTAATTTAATGACAGGAGCAAAGCTCGTGTTCTCAGGAGGATTTTTGTTTCTAACTGGAATACAATTATTGTAATGTGAATGTCCAACCGCACATTCATGCCTAATTAAGTTTTAAACAACCCCAAAACTGTTGATCTCAGCTGAACAGTGTTTTTTCGATTAAATACTGTACTTTGCTGCTTAGCATTGCAGCAATTGTGTTGGACATGGCCAATAAAAAAAAATGCATGTCATTGTATCATTAAAAACAAATCCACAACCCCCCCCCCCCCCAAAAAAAAAAAGTTAACTACAAGTCATGAATCTATAAAGGTGCACAAAGGCAAATATTTTCTAGCCTTTTTGTATAATACCATATCACATTCATATTTACAACACAGTTACCCATTCAGCAATGAGCACGCGATCATGTTAACGTCTTTGGATATAAAAAAAATAGCAATGACGGAAAGGGAAAAAAACACGATGCGAAATTAACATTATTTTTTTTTTGCTTTTTGTACCACATTGTAATGCAGCTCACGTCAGAGCCGAATGATGTTACTGTCGACACGTGATCACGAAATAACAAATTATAAAATAAATAGTGCCCTAATCAGATACAAATGGCATGAGGCAGGCCTCGTTCGCTTGCATCAATCTCAGCCGCGCGAACCCCTCTCGCGTGTTTAGTCAAGTACTCAAGACGGCGAAGCAAAGTACGCTTGCAAAATGGGACATCATGTGCTTCCTTAGACGGTGCACATTTTTGGGGGGGATATTTTACACAACCGAATGTTTGTTATAAGGTTCATGTAGACAATTTTTTGGTGTATATATTGGTGAAACTTTTAGTGACGGTTAAAAGTACATTTTTACCCAAAACAATGTCAACGCTACCTTTTAATTGTTTAGCAAGTGCATTTATAACGTTGAAATGCAACAGCTAAAAACACAAACATGTTTAAAACATTTCCATCCAGACAGAAAACTGTCAAAACGTGTATCTTACAAAAAATATGTTTCCTCCACGATTTTTTCAAAGAAAAAAAAATTGAATTGCAGAAATGTGACAGTACTGTACTACTTTGGTGGACAACGGTGGTTTTCCCACGGATAAAATAATAGGAATGTGGAATTTCCACCACTGGCTCAGAGGTGTAAACAGGAGATGGGGCACTGAACCATGCTTGTTTGATCGGAAACCACTTTAATTATAATGTTTTTTTCCCACTCGGTGGGCAAGCGTTGGGTCGGTATCTACCCTGCTGTGTCACAGACAGCAGTCCAGTACCTGCAGTACATTCTGCCCTGCATCACGATAGATGGCACTGTCCAATGGTTCTACAAAATACATTGTTTATTATTATAATAGTAATATATAATTTTGACTTGTAACGTACCACACAGCATTCGCTCGCTCTCGAAGGGAGAGAGAGGGAGGACGACTCAGAGGCGCGAAGGGAAACCACAGACGAGCGGGGAGGCAGCCATGTGGCAATCTAGCGCTACCAACGATTGCCCAAACTCTGCGGTCCTCTACGTATCAAGGTATTGCCAGTCAATTAAATGACGCACTGAGGGGTCAAAGGTGAATTCGAGCGCTTATCCTGAGCGCACGACGTCACACTTTGTCAGCGAAGAATGACGAAACGGTCGGAAGTGATGTGCAACGAGAAAATAACGCGCGTCCGTCCATCTAGTGCACACAGCGGCGTTAAAACCAAAATGTCCCGAGAGCTCGCCGCTTCGCGGTGAGCTCCTTCGCGGCGCCGCGAGCTCACGAAGTCGATTCGTTCGTGACCGCCGCTCGCGCGCATTTTGTTTCGAAAGCCTTTGCACGTCGTCGCTTTTTCGAGAGGGGGCGGGGGAGGTGGGGGGAAAAAAAAACCGAAAAGGTAAAAATTGTTCAGGGGTTGACACCGCGTGCACGCATACGGCCCGAGGTTGCAGTGACCGTGAGCGACGTGAGCGACGTGAGTGACGTGAGCGACGTGAGTGACGACGCCGTGAGTGACGTGAGCGACGTGAGTGATGACGCCGTGAGTGACGTGAGCGACGTGAGTGATGACGCCGTGAGTGACCGTGAGTGACGTGAGTGACGTGAGCGACGTGAGTGACGTGAGCGACGTGAGTGACGTGAGTGACGTGAGCGACGTGAGCGACGTGAGTGACGACGCCGTGAGTGACGTGAGTGACGTGAGCGACGTGAGTGACGACGCCGTGAGTGACGTGAGCGACGTGAGTGATGTGAGTGACGTGAGTGACGTGAGCGACGTGAGTGACGACGCCGTGAGTGACCGTGAGTGACGTGAGTGATGACGCCGTGAGTGACGTGAGCGACGTGAGTGACGACGCCGTGAGTGACGTGAGTGACGACGCCGTGAGTGATGACGCCGTGAGTGATGACGACGTGAGTGATGACGACGTGAGTGACGACGCCGTGAGTGACGTGAGTGACGTGAGCGACGTGAGTGATGATGCCGTGAGTGACGTGAGCGACGTGAGTCACGTGAGTGACGACGCCGTGAGTGACGTGAGTGACGACGACGTGAGTGATGACGACGTGAGTGATGACGTCATGCCGGCCGGTTCTCCCCGTGCTGCTTGCTGCTGTCTGTGGTTGTTTCCTCACGCTCCACGTTTCAAGCAAAAGTAGCACCATGTTCAATACGACGCAGCGATCATTACAAATTCATAGCATAGTGTCGTTTTATACTTACAGAAAATACATTGTTCTTTCTTATATACTGTATAAGGTAGAAAGGGAAAAAAACAAATGTAAGGACGCAAATTAGCAGAAGCTTGTAATAATTGGATGGAGCAGTCTGCCAGTGATGCTATAGCAATGCTAAAGGTTTATTTGATCTAAGTGTCTGTTAATAGTGCAAGTACACAAAGCACAATTAAATAATAATAATGCAAAAAGCATTTAAACACACATCTATTGAACGTAATAATTTGTTTTTTTTCGACAGTGCTGCTTAGTGCAGAGTTAAAAGACCTAGAGGCCTTTTATCAAGTCATTCCCTTTTTTTTTAACAGCAATGTCAAATTTCACAGATGAGACATGCCCTCAGCCCCTCTCACAACATGAGATGCACCGTTCGCACGCCTGTGCTGGAGTCTGTCCTCGCTTCCACTCTCAGGGCCAAACGGCCCCCCCCCCCCTCCACTTCGAGCCGTTTTCAAGTTTCCAATCGTTGAGTCCTTAGTGGCAAGTCGCATCTTGGCCCGGAGAGAGTGCGACTGGCGTCGGCCTTGCCCATGGACGAAGGCCCTCCCGGGGCGGCTCCTCCCCCCACCCCGCCACCGCCGCCGCCGACCGCGGGCCGCCGCCCTCCATCTACCGCGCGCGTGCCGGTCTGGCCTGGCGCGGCACCAGCGGCCGGTGCGTGGTGACGAGCTGCCGGTTGCGTTTCGCCTCCCGCAGGGCCCGCAACTCGCTCGGCGCCGGCAGGGAGCGCGGGAGCACCTTGCCGTACTCGTGGCTCTTCTCGGGCCACGCCGCGTGGTTCGAGTACTTGTTGGTCATTGACTTCTTGAATAAGTCCTGCGGGGTGTAGAAAAGGTGGTGTTAGGGTAGGGCGGCTTCCCCGCGCGTGGCACGCACGCACGCGTGTGTGTGTTGGGCTTCTTTCGCACCGTAAGTAGCCAACCGTGCACATCGGAGGTTGCGGAGTGAAGGACAACAAACTAAACACAAGAATCAGTTCTGAAGAAATGGGTTTTCAAATCTACATTGATTTATAAGTGCATAGCTCCAGCGGGTTCCTCATATCGGAAAGAAGAGCGTTCCAGACGGCCGCAGAAGCGCATCTGGAAGCGAGCGATGCAGTGAGTGTGTTTGTTCGATGGTCAGCAGCCAAAAGCCGCCGCTGCTGCTGCGAAGATGACCGCAGTTCGCGCGATAATGGTTCATGCTCCTTGACGAGATCGATAATGGTTCATTGTCCTTGACGAGATCGATAATGGTTCATGCTCCTTGACGAGATCGATAATGGTTCATGCTCCTTGACGAGATCGGCGAGGTATCGTGGTTCTTTTGTGGCAAGCACTTTGTGTGTAATGAGTGGGCCGCCCACAACAATGGGTTCCACTTCTTAACGACGCAAAATACATGAACGTGGCTTCATAAAAAATATTCTTAAAATGCTTTTTGTATATTAACACGTAATCCACGCGTGAATACAGAATCTGTATTTAGACTGGAGGAGTCCGATGAGCTATGAAGTTATTTTTCAAAGCTTCATCTATTCGTAGATATTTTACTTCATTATTAGTCACTGCAACGGTAATTATAACAAAAAAATGTGCATGAGCTATGTAAACATTAGTAAATGTGTGCGATGTCTGTAAAGTTTCAAAACATTAAAAAAAACAAAGAATGATTGCTGATAAGGAATCGGTATGCCAGCCTGTAGACTGGGTAATAAAGTCTTGACAACAGAGAAACTGAACACTGTCAAAATTAAAAATCGGTGTTGACACTTGCTGGCAATAAAACAGCTGTGTTAAGATTTTGATTTTAAGCTTTCGTGACTGCAGGGATTCATATTCTTGGTTCTTTCGGTAAAGTCACGTAAGAAAGAACCAAGAATATAGGCGTTAAGATGTTAAAAACTGAAGTAGATTCCTTTTGCAAGGAATCAAGTTTGCACTAACCACACGTACATGTGGTGAACATGCAAACAAACACGATCTGATAATATGATGTATTGTTTTTTTAACCGATTGGCCTACACCAGTCTCACCAGTGATAGACCAGAGAACGCCAAAAGGCGAACAGGACGAAGACAATGCAATTTCAGAGAATTTATAGCTCGGGGTGAGCAGCTAAGGTCCAATGATGAACTAAACACTGTAAAGTCTGTAGATACGAGGTAGACTTTTGGAATAATATAAGCGCTGAGGCAATGCCAGAGTCTGTAAGAGTCAAGGAAGAACGGGTACACATGGGAAGTGGTTGTAGCTGCACAATGTTGAGATACAAAGAGGGGTGGGCTCACGCTTGCTATAAGGAGAGTGACCATAGCTTGTCAGAATCACAATCTGAATCTTTATTTAGACTGGAGGAATCCGTTGAGCAACGAAGCTCTTTTTCACAGCTGTCCAGTAGTTTTCACAGATATTTGATGATGATGAGGCTGCTGCTGCATGACTTTATATAGGTGCCAATGATCAATTTTGTCCCAACTGAGACTGGTCAAGTCCAGTGCTGCCGGGATCGTTTGCAGTGCCGCGCTCAGCTCTCCCAGTGGGATGTACAGCGGGCAGGATCGTACTGCCGTTCATTCGCAAAACTACTTTGAGAAACGAATGTTCCCGCGTGAATAAACGATATTGAACGTCTCTTATTTTGTAAAATAATTAAAACTGCTCCTGGTAAATGTGTCAATGTGTCAATTGTGAAGCTGATATTCTAATAGAATACAAAAAAGGCAACATATTTATTGACTCGCTATTAATAGGCAATAGAAAAACACATTTACATAATATGATCATTTATATGGACTAATTTTAAAGATATAGGTAAGAATTGTATCTTTAAGAAACCACAGTTTGTTAACTTCTTTTTACAGATCTCGAGGTCATAATCGCAGCATTATTTGAATAAAATCACCACGTGGAATTGTTACATTGTGCTGTCAATGTGACAATAACGGAAAATGCCATTGATGTGACCGCATATTGCCCTCACTTTCCTTTCCTCTGCCACATCCCAGCGCTGTGGCACAGCCAACATTCATCCTCTAACTTGCTCAGACTCCATCCCACCCCTATGGCTTCATAGTTTCCCTTTGGTCGCCAACGACTGGATAGCAACTCCGATGTTTTTGGTTCTATAGCTGTGGATTCCTTCCAGAGTGGCTTCTTACAGGAAACGGTGTGGGAGGAAACTGGACTAGCAGGGCACAACTAATTGACGAGAGCTGATAACATAATGCTGCTCACGGGAGGGACTCAATCCACTTGCTGCACACCTCGTCAAGGCCACAAACCGAATCAAATCATTGTGCGGCCAGTACTGGATAAACGTATGACCGTGGTGGCAAGACAGGGGGAGAAGAATAAGACTAGGGCACTGTGGTAGAGGTCGTGGATTTGATCCTGACCCTGACGCCTGCTGCTGTATATTTGGAGTTTGCGTGTCTCTCTCTCTCTCGCCGTGGTCGCGTGGATTTTTCTCCAGGCCCTCCGGGGTTTTCCGTCCACATTTAGAATCACACGCGATTACAATGTTTGGCTGCTATAACTTTCCACGTGATAAGCCACTTCGTTGAGCTATCAATTGTGACCTGGTCGCTTCTGAAAAATATCTATACAGCTCAGTGGGCCTTATTACCTGGTAAAAAAAGAAAAAACGAGCTTAACAAAGAAGGTGTACTTGCTGTACTGCATCTGTACCTTGAATGAAGGTGGACGGACGTCCCGCTCAGACTTGGCGGGCTTGGCGCAGTACATCTCGAGAAGGCGCAGGTCACATTTGCTGAAGCAGCATTCTTCCACGATGCCCTTCTTGGGTCGGCCGTGCGAGCGTGAAGATGGGTGCCGCACTGCAACAGGAGTCGCACGTCAGCACCGAGGCGCTCGCAATCGATTTTTTTAACAGCACACACAAGAGGGGGGTGCAGCGTTGTCGCGCGTAGCAAAGGTCTCAGCCTTGTCCAGACCACGCAGTTCGAAAGAACTGAATCTGTGGACAATTTGTCGTTTAGAGCCGCCGACTCGGTGTTGAGCAACCGTGGCCGTCCCCACCTTTCACAGTTTTTTTGTTCACAAGAGAAAACGTATTCCCATTTGGAATTGTATTACCTCAAAGATATACGGAAATTAAAAAAAACCCATAATAGCAATTGCTATGCATACTAAATGGATACATTGCACATGTTCAGCCTCAAAAATAGAATGTAATTGGTTAACATAATAACATTGAATTAATAAGACATGTATTACCTAAAGCATGATTTATAACACATTGATATATTAAGAATATCCGGCCCTGTGGGGCTTTGGCCATAGTGCTCCACTCTTACTATTGAGCGCCCATCATCCCTCTTGAGTTGTTGAAAGTAAGTACCACTTTGTGGATGTTAACAGTGGGTGTCTGATGGAGAGACTGGCCTCCATCATCGGAATGTGAAATGTCTACAACTGGCTTTGGCCCACAGGGTGGAATGGGCACCACCAATGCTTGGGTTTAATTTAAAATGAGGCCCTATGTGAGAACTTAATTCCTGCATAGGTAGTGAGATAATGCTCAGAATACATACAATATATATTTTAAAAACTGCTTATCCAGGGCTAGATGACCGGGAAAAGTATGGAATTTCGGCACGGAAGTCCCCAAGAGAGACGGAGAAAGCATGGCTCAAGATGAGCAGCAGGAGTAAATAATGAATACTGGGCACGAAAGTTGAGAAGGGGGAGAAGGAATTCTATGTTGGGGATGAAATATTGAAGTTTAGCGCTTTCATTAGAATATCTGCGGGTTACAATTAAATACACACGTTTATAATTTTTATGGTTCAAATTAAATGTATTTGAGATTGAGTGATAAGACGATTGCGGTGATGCAAGATTGACAGCTCAAGTCTGCCCCAGGAGCCATGAAAGGGTGTAATGTGAGCATGCTTTGTTGGTTTTTTATGGGTGAACCAACTCGAGGTTAATGAGTAACGCTCAAGTTAACCAGAGCAGGGCTATCGTTTAAGTAAAGAAAACACTGCAGATGAGGCCCAGGGTGGTGGAAACCAGTGCAGAGATTTATTTTTACCTCAATAAATGCTCTGAATAATATTTGCTCTGTAAAGGCAATATGCCAATTTAACGAAAACATTAATTTTTACATTTATGTCTGGAGACACTTAAGGGGAGTTCTGCTTACACGTGAAACGCAGACAGAAAGGGGAGCACGTGGATTAAGAGAACCTATACACGTAAAGCCCATACCGTGCAAACTGTTAAGGAAAAGTAAGTGGCCTGTGGGCAGGACGTATCGCCACAAGGGACGAAGCCCGATGGTTAAGAATAACGATGGAGTGGCAGCCAGGGTGCGGAACGCGTCCGAGTGGACGTGCGCCAAGGAGATGGAGCGATTAAAGCAGTTGATGTACAGGTTCTAGATAGATGGTTACTTCACAGCACCTTCAGGCATGGCGGTAGCTTTCTTTGGGAGGGGGGAGGCCTCATCCAGCTGTGGATTAACTATCGCTCATCACGATGATGATGCAAACACTCATATTGCCTCAAATGTTCATTGACTAATCTGTCGAAATTGTCTTGTGAGAGAAATGCCCGTGGAGTGTGTAGCAATGAAAAAGCACGTTCATGAAAAACATGAAATATATTTCAATGTGCTGGTCATGAAACCATCACCAGCAACATGTGATGTCCTAGTAAGGTGTGACCTGAGTGATCTGGTGGTAAATATCTTGGGAGTGCATCAAGATAAACCCGTTGTCTAATGAATTCCAGAATGCGGAGTTGTGAAATGTAACGAACTGCAATCCAATAGTAGTCATCTGAGCACTGCGATTAAACCAAACCCGCTATCGACACGCGCGTATTTATAGAAAATGGTCAAAGAGCAATCGATGTTGACCATGCAATTTATAATGAGCTGCGTAATTTCATTTGCCGCGCGGAATTCGTTTCGTGGTCTTCCCGAGTTCAACTTTCACGCCGGAACTAACATGTGCTGAGTGGTCAGCTCTACTCTAACTCCGCCGGTGCCAGTTCGCCAGTGCTCTGCTGACTCGGCGTTCTCTCTCTCTCCTCTCCCTCTGCCGGCTTTCCATTTTTTTCTGTAGGCAACGAACCCGCTCCGAGAGGTGGTCGCGCCCTCACCGAAGTAGAATCCGCGGTCCCCGCACACGAACTGGAGGGCATCGACGAGCTCGGAGCCGCACAGCGTCTCGGAGGCGCGCACGGGGCGCGAGTTTCCTGCCCCCAGCAGCAGCATCAGCAGCAACGGAGCCAGCAGCGTCAGGGGCCGTGCGGCGGTGCAGCCCACAGCCGCCGTCTGCCAGGCGCGGCCAGGGGACAAAGAGTTAACGTGCATTTGCCAAATTAAAAAAAAAAATTCGCTCGTGCAATGTATACCCAAGCCCATTTTTGTTGCGTGTTTTGTGATATTAATCTAGCTGGCCTTGGAGCCGTGATAACAACTTGTTTGTATATATAAAATGTGTTAGACTGAGCGATAGATCGCAGCTGCAATGTCACTCCTCGTGCTACGAAAGACTACGTGTGTTTATGAGGGGGGGGGGGGGGCTTCGTGAACAATGCCACCGTTAAAATCAAGTTTAAACTGTGAACACTTTAGTGCTGATACATTCAATCCCGAATAGTAGTCCATTAGACGCGGTCCTCATGTCAAGCGGTGAATTTCAGCGGTAATCAGATGTTGTCTCCCTTGGTGAAACTACTCCGAGTAAACCGTTGAAGTGCGACCGAGTGATCTGGTTGTAAATATCTTGGGAGCGCATCAAGATAAACCCATTGTCAGTCTATTGGATCTAATGAATTCAAGAATGCAGAGTTGTGAAATGTAACGAACTGCAATCCAATAGTAGACATCCGAGCACCGTGATTAAACCCAGCCTGCTATCGACACGCGTGCATTGTATAAAATGTCCCAAGATCAACCGATGTTGACCGTGCAATTCATAACGGGCTGTGTACTTACAATAACGACACCGCATTTGCTTTGCGGTTTTACAACTTTTACGCGGGTCGCAAACAAGAAGAAAATAAACTGCACACGAGGTCTGCTTTTTTTGCAAGTCAAATAGATTTAAATAATAGTTTACATTTGACCGACCGACGAGCCTTCAAGATCATAATTATTCATGGGCACTTCATTCAACCTCACAGATTTGCAACGGCTCCTTGCTCTCAGCACGGAGCCCCGTGGGCTCCCAATTGCCACACTTTGAAGCCAAAACGTGTTGAATTTTCAGTCCTTTCCAAACATTCCCCTGGCTTTTCTTTGTTACGCTTTTAGAACTTTTCAGCAGCGCAAATTCCAGCGAAAGCACTTTAACGCGGCAACAAATCAAAATAGCTCTCTGAAAATTACAACGTATTTTGTATTGCTACAAAGTCATCAAAATCCCTGCAACTCTACAACACCACGAGCGACCACGACCGTTAAAACTGCACCAACGAATCAAACGAAAAAAAAAAACTTCGCCCATCTTCAACCGCGGCAGAACCTATTCACGCTTAACAACAATTGTAATTTTACAACGGTACCATCGGAAGATATCTCACGACGAACCAAAGAAAAGAGTTGCAAACAAGTACCCGTGTTGTCCTGAATGTGAAGCGGCAGAGCGAGCAGCTGGCCAAGCCTTTGTACTCCATGGCTTGGGGAGGGAGAGAAAGAGGCGAGCAGAGACGGACGGTGATGCCTGGTTGGTGGTGGTGGTGGTGGTTGATGGTGGTGGTGAGGAGCTTCAGGTGGTGTGGTGAGCTCGGTCTGCAGACCCTTGTGTTTGGGTGCAAACTGCTGCCCCTCGCCTCCGCCTGCGAGCCTTATAAACCCCGCGCGCGCACCCCACACCGCCCCCCCCCCCTCCGAGTGCCGCGATTTATTTATTTATTTACTTCCTGCCTCCGTCTGTGAGCCATTTGGCGTTTTGTGTTGCTCCGTGTGTGTGTGTGGGGCTCTCTGTGTGTATGTGACGCTCTGTGTGTGTGGGGCTGTGGGTGGTTGTTATGGGGCCGTGTGTGGTGATGTGTGGGGGGGGGGGGGGGTAGGTTTGCGTGCTGCGTTACGAACCCCGGCGACCCGAGTTCGATTCCCGCTCACGGCCAACGCCAGTGACGATTGTCTTGAACCGGTCCTCTGGGCCTGGGTCGATTCAGCCTCAAACGAGGAGCTGGTACGCTGTTAACATCGCCACTGGGGAGACAAAGGCGGTCAGGCGTGGTGCTGGCAATCCATCCCCTCGTGTACTGTACCAACCTTGGTGCTCGCTAACAGCACTTGCCCCAAAATCTATACGGGGGATCTTTGTTTATGTGTCTGTGGGGAGGAGGGGGGGGGGGTGTGCGGGTGGAGGGCTCTGTGTGTGTGTGGGGGGCTGTGTGTGGGGGGCTGTGTGTGTGTGGCTCTGTGTGTGTGTGGGGGGCTGTGTGTGGGGGGCTGTGTGTGTGGCTCTGTGTGTGTGTGTTTATGTGGTGTGTGTAAGAGTCAGGGTAATGTTGGTATTGGGAGAGTGGGACTCTGGTCTATCCTCAAAGCTGGTGTCATGGATATTTGGTAACACCTTATAAAGAATACGTCATAGTGGTTGGAAAAGTTTAAAACCCACCATTTATGTAGCATGAACAAGAAAGCTTCAGTGTACATTCGGGTGAAAGTAAATCCACACGGCTACTTCATAACTACATGGCTTTCTATTTAAAAAAAATACTTTTCTGTTGCTCAGCAAATTTAAATAACTTAACACTTCATTATTCTTCACTTAATTACTTTACAAAATGTTTCACTCCCCCCCCCCCCCCCTCTCATGCAACTGAAAACATTTCGCGTACTGTGCTGTAATTGGATCTCGTGAACTTGGTGACTTTGTGCTCGGCCGTGGCTCTCTCCAGTGAGCCACATTATGCTCATGGTAATCGCTTGAACACACGCATGAACAATAACAATGACTCGATCAACATGTTGCATTTTTCAGCAACTCCCCTACCCGCCGCCGCCTCCTTTGCGAGCATAACGAATAATGAAAACGGAGGGAAATTTCAACAAAAGAGGCAACAACAACACAAACAAAAACCTCGTCCCTTATTATTCTTTTTTTGGCAACGTAAAAAAAAAATTGGCAACAAAATACATTCCTGGCCTTTTACAAGAGACTTGTTGTGACTCGGACCTATGCAGCCCGTCCGGAGTGACGACGAGGGCGCGTATCAGCAAAACGGACCGTGCGGCATAAACGTTCTCACGTCCTCTCAGAGGCACGCATTGAACTCCGTCGACAATTGCAGACACTCCATCGACTCCACGGAGTTTTGCTCTGCCCCGATCACCTTTGCACTTCGTAAGCGTCTTCCCAACTGCAAGTAACACGTCGAGTCGGAAGTGAGTGCAAACCCGCGCGTGTCCTCGTGAACACGTATCGCACACTGACACCGCGGGCAGCCTTGACTTTCCTTAATACCGCTGTCATAACATATATATTGAGTTGAATAATGCTGTGGTTATGCAAGCGAGACGATTACACGTAAGGGGCCCTTTTTTAAACTATAGGGCCTCGTGTAAGGGATGTCCACGTGTATTGGCAGGACCGCGTGATCATCAGCAATTCAAACATTCTTGAAGCTTGCATAATACGTAAAATAAAATATTGAGAAAAATCCAAAACTCAAGTTTACAAAATGTGGCTTCCAAATGCTTTGCAGCACAAGAGGCACTCAGTATATAAAACATTCATAGAAAGGTTTTTTGTTGAAGTGACAGCTCTTTCATTTAACTGTGTCAGCAAAATCCTTGCACGATAACGCGCTGCACTTTTCACAGGGTGATTGGTCGGCCTGCCGTGGCCCACCCCCTCACGAGCCGTGCAGGGCTTCAAGGTGCTCCTCGCTAACAGCACCTGCCCCAAACGGTGCTGGCTCTATGGGGGGCCTTTGATGTGGCGCGTGCATCCGTAACAGCTCGATGTTTAAATCCTCCCTAATGCGCTCTGCTCATTTGTAGCAATGGAGTGAGAGGTCATAGACGACGCACTGCCAGTGGGGGAGGGGAACAGCGATGCGCGAGTTCACATAACGAGTTCGGTGAACTCCGGTGACCTGGGTTCGATTCCCAGACACGGATAACATCCCAGTAGCGAGTGATAGCTCTGCCAATATACTCACCCCCTCCCCCCCTTCACGAAACTGCACTGACTAGTGTGGTAAAGTATGGTCAATAAACCCCCACGACTTAGAATGCATGGGCAGGCCTTCACTCCGGAGTGGGTTGACAAAGGGTTGTAACTTACACACGTATATACAATACCGATCACAAGCCTTTCATCAAATTACCCTGAATGGGCCCGATCGTATTCCATTGCGGTACTGTACTATGATAATAGATGTTTCCCCTTTTTTTCCGGCAACAAAACAGGTGTTAAGATGTTAAAACACCAAACTGAAACCTTTTCACAAGGAATCATGTCTGCATTAACCACAATACTTGTGGTCAGACTGCAAACAAAAAATAACATATTCTGAAAATATATGCATTGTCCTTGAAACTGGTGTTAGACCAGAGGGGGAGTGAGTATTATCATAGTATAGTAACACCGTTTGAGACGAGGTTTAAAAGAAAGCTGTCTCTGGTGTGGACCAATCACGATGTAGATACTGTACCATGCTGCAACGTCTATGCTCCCCGCTTTCACTAACCTGCGCTGAGCGGCGTGGGGGAAGTATGTTCAAAATAACCCCAGGAGTCACGTGTGCACACGCAAGAGGTACGCACATAGAGCGATAATAAACGACTCAATATTCTAATACAAGTATTCATGTACAAGAAGATTTATAGCCGGCTCAGAATAACACTCACCGCGAAGCCAGTTTGCACGTGCTGGAGTTTAGGGGTTGGTGTCTCTTTTGGTCGTCTGGTTTTTTCTATTGTAAATTTGATAAGCGCGCACACTCTCTCTCTCTCTCTCTTGCTGTAATCTGGATATTAAAGACTCCGTGATGCCATGCAGACGTTGATGTACGCACTCAGGGCCGCTCGTTGCTTCCAGGAGGCCCAGGGCAGGATGCCACGTGAGGGCCCCCTTTGTGGGTAATCATGGATGGCAACTTGCATTGTGCCGCGCACCGCATGCCACCCGCTCACTCTCAGAGCGGGAGAGAACGATGCGGAGGTGCGAGCAATCAAAGACGAGCTGGGGGGGGGGGGGGGGGGGGGGGGGGGCAGCGGCCAGGTAGTGAGCCAGTGCCAATAATTTCCCCAAGACCAGCAGTCCTCCACGTGTGAAGATGACTCCAGCCCCAATCGTGAGTGTTTACATGGAGGAGGAAACCGGAGCGCCCGAGAGAAACCCCGCGCGCATGTCAGGGGGCAATACTTTTCACCCATACAGGTGGAACAGATGAAGTCCACACTTTTGCTGCACTCGACACCCACGGGAAGGGAGTTTCACAACATTTGTGTGATTCACAAACCCCTCGACCCCAGTGCTATATTCTATTATGGCGTACGCGGCAGCAAACGCGTTGATGAGCTAAATGCCAGTGCCGTGTTTCCTGCTCTCACATGGATCGGAACCGTGGGGAAAAAATAAACTTGACAATGAAAACTGATATTTTTTTAAGGTACTCTTTAAATTACACCGAGACGACAACGAGAGCACACGGGTCAGAGGGCAAATGCAAGTGCAATTAGGCAGGACCCATCGCGAAGAAGGAATGAGGGCAGGATGGACTAGACTGACGGTGGGATGTCAGCCCAAAGCGGGAGCTCACCCAAGAGTCCGGCCACCTATGGAGATGGAGCGATGATATCACTTTGACACCTGCGGAAAAAATAGCTTCATAGCTCACCGGATTCCTCCGGGATGAATAAATATTCCGATTCTGATGTGAGCGCATGCGCAACAACGCGAAGGATTGTGGCATCGCAAGGCAAGAGGGCTGGCAATGAGGTGGGGAGGGTCCTTACACGGCAGTGGAGTGATCACGGTCGCTGATAATGACGATGTAAATTAGCACAACATACATGGCACAGTGTGAACTTACCGTAACAGCATCTAGGTTTTCTACGTATCATTGCAGGAGATGCTGGATTATAAGGGCCTGTAAATGAAATGTAACTCGTTATTATGCTCGTATCTTCGCATATGTTTTGCTCACGTTTGCATCAGACGTGGTTGTGTTCAAACTTAACTTGACCAGCCATAGTGGATTATACAATATTAAAATCTACTGTAAGCTTTTTTTTTTCATTCAACTGGGAAATATGAGCTTGACAGGTAGCCATACACACAGGGCTGACATGCACTCAAAGAGGAAATGTGCAGTCATTACAAATTATGGATTTATTTGCTGGCGAATGTTCATTTCCGTTCCGCTGTTTGGCCAAAAAAAGACAGCGAGGATGTCTCCGTGACCAAAAACGAGACAAATTGGCAAGGATTTGTCTTTCGTGAAAAATGTGAACTTGTGCCAAAACAGATTCCACTCAAAGTTGTTCGTGAGGTGGCCAGGTTGCTCCAGAGTGCTGAGCTGGCACCGCCGACAACCTGGATTTGAATTCGGGTTTCAGCCGCTCGTGTTCATGCTGGCTTCCCAAGTGCAGCGACTTGATGGGCTCAGCCCAGTTATCAATGCCGGGGCAGTGGTGGCACGCCTGTAACCCAGCGCTGTGGAAGCAGTGAGCGCTGGTGGATCACGCAAGTGTTGCAAAAACTCCCTTCCCGTGGGCATCTAGGTGCCACGTACCCTGGCTCTTACAGAAGGCGGGTAACAGCACAATTGGGATTCCACATGTTCTATCTGTGGCGGGATAGAGTGTTGCCCTCT